GATCTCGACATCTAGGGGCTGCATTTGGTGGGTGCACTGCGGCGGAAATGGAAGTAGTTTAATACCGTTTTCTCCGCAATATAAAATAGCTGCAAGGCTAATGTGCGTCTCGCGGTTATCAAGTATGAGTAATATTGGATTTTTGGCACTGTTGTTCTTATGCTTCTTGATATGTTCCAACACCTTTACAAAAATTTCAGCAGTCATCCACCCAGTCTTTGCTCCAAAACACACGGAGCCTGGTGCTGAACCATACAGATATTCATCTTTTATTGTTACCCTGGAAAAGATGTAAATATGAGGCAAGGAATCTCCAGAAGCCGCTATAATTTCGCAGAATGTTACCAATGTACCACGCTCCCCAGAAACCACCTGCCCAACCTGCTTCTTTCCGCTTTGTGCAATTACTTTAGGGGCCTGTCTAACAGTTGTTATTCCTGTTTCGTCACAGTTCAGAATCCGGTATGGCGTGAAGTTGTATTTCTCCATTATTTTCCTATAATTGTCAAAAAACTGTTTCACATTAGTTAGATTAAAAGCACTAGCTCATGCGAGGCTAGTATTTTCAGGTTTTCGGTGGGATAAATCTTGGTTTCTTTTCATAAAAGCAGCTATCCAGTCTTCGCCTACCATTTTGTTTGTATCCCACGAATGAGAGTGTTTCTTTTCCAGCTTGACGCGTATTCGTAGGCCAAAACACGAGAGTTATAAATGTTAAATATTGTTTAAGTTTATTTTCTTCTCGAGCACTAACTTCTTGCTGCATATTTAGACGTATTTTTATCATTATCGCTATCATTTCCAGAATCTCCATTTTGGTTTTTACGAAATCTTTTCAAGCGATCCTGGAGTGTCGATTTTCGAATATTGTGTACTGAAGACAGTCGAGTTTCAACTATAGCAGTTAATACCTAGAAGCTTAAGAAGTAAAGTGGAAAATATTTACCTCTTGGCACAAAAAACTATAATTTTAATTTGTAGAAAGATTTGTTGAAATACCGGTACCACCTTTTTACAGTAGCTATTAACAGAACTGAGACGACGTTTGTCCGATCGTACACACTGTTGCAACTATTTTAGGCCCCGTATCCGAATGTGCCCCGGTCTCCCCTACTCATAGTAAAAACAAAAATTCATTGTAATTAGCTGGAGACTACTTAAATACGTTTGCATACTGCTAATAAAAGACTATATACTACTGGTGAACGACTGTATTTTGCTTGCAGAAGACAAGACATTGGTGTTTGATAAACTATACCGTTGGAAAAACTAGATACCTAGAAAACTAGATACAACTTGCAGAAGGGTACTCTTCTGAAGCTAAATATTTTAGAGGAAAACAGATTACTGGGTAAGAACTCCTGATCTGTTAGCTATCCAATGATATGTTTATTTATTTATTTATCTCATGTGGGTACAGAAACAGGTCGAACCCAAGAACACTGTACCACAAAAAAACCAGTTATATACAAGTAAAATTACAGTTTATAATAATAATAATGAATTAATATTCATATTAATGGTATAAAAGTGAAGGGGTCCATAAGGAACCGACGCAGGATTAGAAAAAAAAAAACCATTAATCAAAACAATCTGGCATCTCTCCTTCAGATAGGAAGCAAGCCATTGCAAAAGTTTTCCCTGAATACTAAACTTTATTAGTTTAAATAGAAGTTAGTTGTGATCCACCCGGTCGAAAGCTTTAGTAAAATCCGTATAAACTAAATCAATTTGACAAGAATCATCCAGAGAAGATAAAATATGAGCAACCGAGCGACAAGCAAAAGAACCATGTTGTCTACAACTGATTTTAGACTTAAGGGCAAAGAATAGATGTGCATGAACTACTTCCTCAATCACTTTCCCAAATACTAGCAAAATAAATATGGGGATCAAACCAGATAAAACACGACGGTCCTCAGACGCCCATTATTAATGAAACATTAAATAAAATAGTTAAAGGAAGGGACAGAGAGTGTGCACCTTCCTTGATTAAAATTGATGGAATACCATTAGTACCAATACTGTCTGTAACCTTGATGCCTCCTCAACCTCAATTCTGTCATACTACATCTGACTCAAAGGAAGGGCATCTGTTTCCACACAATTTACATTTTGTTGGATTGGAGCAAGATCAACAAAAACCGAAGAAAAGAAATCAACGAACAATTAGCATACTGCGACACCGTTACCGACAACAATGTGGAAGGATTGACATCCGTACGCTTCTTAGACTTAGTAAAAGCGCAAACCCAGTAAGTTATTTCAATGTAACGCAAAAAATTTAAATCGTTTATTTTCAATTCATTTTAGATTACTGATGACACTTTACTAGGTTAATGATGACGTCGGGTACCATAATTAATTAATAATAATAATGTTTATTGCCTCAAAAACAAACATTTACATAAATATACATTCATAACAAATATAGACATCAAGACAAACGGATCAATTTATCGTAATAAGCGATATCTTCCAAAAGACCCAACTGGTAACAGTGTATATGTAATTTTAAATAAATAATTATGGCTACCAAAAAGTAATACTAAATGATGTGCTAATAAAACTGAGCGAATGAGCATATTTGAATTATGTAACGGATCGACAGTGAGTCACTACAAGGAAGGAAACAAACACAAAAGAGTGCAGCAAAATAGAAGATAGATAAAAGGCAGACTAGAGAAGAAAACAAACGCGTATAGGTCAAGAAGAAGATAGTTGAAGAGATAGCAGATGGCGCCTCAAGGCATTTTTAAAACTTATTAAACTAGTTGCATTGCGAACAACGGCAGGCAAATCGTTCCACAACGCAATCGACTGCAATGTAAAAGACCTGTGGTAGATTTCAGTACTATAGATTGGAAACATGAGTGTAGAGTCCGACATTGATCGCGTGGGCAAGTCATGTGATGCTAGAAAGTGAAAGGCATCAGACAAATAAGCAGGAGTGCGGGTATGGACAATTTTGTATAACATAGTAAGCATACGAAATGATCTACGACTCTGGCAAGTCATCATCTGCAAGTTGTTACGATATGGAGTTATGTGCTGAAACTTTCCTAAATCAAAAATGTATCGTATACTATTGTTCTGAAGTCTTTCCAATTTACCCTGAAGAAAATGAGAGAAAATGAGAGAGTAACAAAGATTACGACTTACAACAGGAGGAAGGTAGCAGCGAAGTTTTTTCAAAGTATGAAAACAGAAGTAAACCCTCTTACAGACTCCCTGAACTTGTGGCCGCCAAGACATCGTCGAATCAATTACCACACCAAGATTTTTTACCGTATTAGAAAACGGAATAACGATATAGCTAAGCATCAGTTGAAGGGTAGTTAAGGAATTAAATTGTGCCAGCAAGGGGCGAGTGCCAAATGCAATGGCTTGCGTTTTACCTCGATTCAGGTTAAGTCCTGACGTCTAGACTAGTCAAGTACACTAGAACAAAGCATCTGGAAGGTTGTTAATAGTTGACGAAATGTAAAGTTGAAGGTCATCTGCATACAAATGATAGTTACACGAGATACCATCACTAATACTATGAAAATTGAGAAGAGCAAAGGACCCAGCACACTGCCCTGGGGAACTCCACATTTGATGTCAACAGGAGAAGAGAGTGCAGATTCCACGCGGCCACGTAAAGACCGATAGGAAAGGTAAGACTGGAACCAAGATACACAAGAAGAGGTCAAATCAATAGCAGAAAGCCTAGTTAACAGGAGGGCATGGTCCACAGAATCAAAGGCCTTACTAAAATCAAGTAACATTAGCAAAGTAACACAACGCTTATCACAAGCAGATCTAATATCGTCGATGATCTTAATCAGTGCTGTAATAGTACCATGCCCTTCACGAAAACCAGACTGGAACTTGTTAATCAGATTTAACTCCTCAAGATATTTCTAAATCTGTAAGGAAGCTAAACGTTCAATAGTTTTTGACAACGTAGATAGAATAGAAATGGGTCGAAAGTCATCAACATGGGACGGAGATTTAATTTTTGGGTTAGGAATAACATGGGCGATTCGCCAGATTGAGGGAAATATAGACTGTTCAAAAAAACAGTTGAAAATATATGTTAGGGGAGTAATAACTATATCCAGAATGGGTAAGAGGAATCTGGGTCCACCTCGACACTAGTGGACTTGGAGTAAGTTAAAGCATGAGATTCAGGTTAAGTCCATGACGTCTAGACCAGTCAAGCATGCTAGAGAGATCGTTAAAGAAGCAACAAAGCGTCTATTTATGTATAATATACCATCACTAATACTATTTATGTATAATTGAGAAAAGCAAAAGACTCAGCACACTGCCCTGGGGAACTCTACATTTGATATCGACAGGAGAAGAGAGTACAGATTCCAAGCGGCCACGTAAAGACCAATAAGAAAGGTAGGACTGGAAGGAGGGCATGGTGCACAGAATCAAAGGCCTTACTAAAATCAAATAACACTAGCAAAGTAATACAACGTTTATCACAAGCAGATCTAATATCATCGGCGATCTTAATCAGTGCTGTAGTAGTACCATGCCCTTCACGAACACCAGACTGGAACTTGTTAATTAGATTAAACTCTTCAAGATATTTCTGAATCTGTAAATAAGCTAAACGTTCAATAGTTTTTGACAACGTAGATAGAATAGAAATGAGTCGAAAGTCACCAACATGGTCGATGCGCCAGATTGACGGAAATATAGACTGTTCAAAAGAACAGTTGAAAATATGAGTTAGGGGGGTAATAACTATATCCAGAATGGGTAAGAGGAATCTGAGTATTAACACACTGTATTTGGGAACTCGCTAATCAGAACTACGCCGTCAAACGCTCTAAATCTTCCAAAAAGGACGGAGTAGGAGAACAAACGTGTATTGAATCGCGAAACTCGAATTATGATATGATGGTATATGAATGATATATTAAAAGTGGTTTCACGTGATTTCAGGTCCTCATAAATTCGGATTTTTCAGTTAACACAAAATCAATTGAATGCAACAATTTCATCGAAATCAATTTTATTTATAACTTTATTTTGAAAATAACACAAATTTATAATAACACAAGATTTATCTCACTAAACTGACTGTTATTTTTATTAATATAATATATCACGAATTTGTTTTTATATACAACACAGCATTTTTATCTTTAACCCTATTATTTTTTAAATCATTTAAATGAATAATGATCTTACAGGTATTCCCGTTTCGTTTTAAATGATAAACTTTAGAATTCTTTTTAGTTTTAATAACAACTTGACATGAAAAGCTAATTTTTTCCCTACCGGTAAAAACAACGCTCCATTCTATAGTGTCAATGTAAATTTGCGAAGTACAATAAAAAATCCCGTATTTACTGACGATGAGAAACTCGGAATTCTTTGGAAAAGCATACTCCATCGCATCAACGATTTTCAATGATGGATGAAATAATCGAACGTGACGAAAAACATCCATATATTTCCCGGTAAATTCGCACATAGGACATTTATACAAAAAATAATCGCATTTAATCTCGTGAAAACGAATTTCGTAACAAGAATAAAGTTCGGTGCAACCTTTTTCTAAAAAGCGGCATGGATGAGTTAGCGATCTGCTTATTTCTTCTAAATCGATGTTTCTCATGTCGGTTACGCCGCTTTTACACGAACAATTTAACGGTTTGCATGTAATGCAAACGCTGTGGCCGTTTAAACAAACAAAGATTGGAGGTATCATGATCATTGAGCACGATTCGCAACGCATCAAATTGATTTTTTCGTAATATTCCATTTCGGCTTTACTCAAACGGTTTGGGGTTAATTTCGATGATTTTGGACGTAAAATAAGTGGGTGAATTGAAGAGGTTTCTTCGGTTTCAAAATTTTGTTGGTATTCTTGGCTAGTTTGAGGAGTTTCATTTTTTTCTATAACTTTATCTTCTTCATTATTCTCTTCTTCTACATTATCATCCGAATTACTTTCGGATTTATTTACTACTTCTTGATTTTCTTTTATTTCTTCATCTTCTTCTAATATGGTTTCTTTAAATATCTCTTTTTCGTTTTCTTTGGTTCCTCGTTTTTCTTCCTCCTCGCAAATATAAACATCGTCTTCTTTATCTTCGTGCTTATGTTCTGATTTATATTCATGTTCGTGTTCCGTTATGGATCCTAATCCTATTCTAACTGAAATTTCGCTTGATTCGGAAAATCTACCTGGATAAATAAAAAAGGAACGTTTTAAATTTTTTGGGTTAAATTTAAATAACTTACTGGTTTCGGAAAATTTCGTTGTTTCGCTGAAAAACGAAGAATGACTTCCGCGAAGAAAACTTTCTTGGAAAAACACATCGTCTTCGTCGAAGAAAGAATCATCAAACGGTTTATAAAAGTTAGGAAAGAAATCATTGTTTCGCAGCCCAAATCTCAACTCATCATTAATTTTCATTTTAAAATCGTCCATGACATTTTCATCGTCTTCAATTTCATCAATTTTAACTTCATTTTTAACCACAACTCCATCCTCAATTTTTAATTCACTCGTTATTTTTATATCACTTTTAATATTAATATTAGATTTATTTTCTGTATCATTTTCAACAACATCATCAATAATATCATCAAGAATATCCTCAACAAAATCTTCGTTTTCTTTATCATCAAAATGAACCGATTTTTTTTGATTAGATTCAAATTCTATGTTATCCATGGTTTTTTTTCGAATACTCGATCGAAAACTCGAATTTCTTTGAAAAATCTCCCTAACTTTACTATCTAAAACTTTCTTTTCGTGATAACTTCTTCTGCTTATTGATTTATTCATCGCAAACCCTTCATCTTTCATCCCTTCGATGTTTATAAAACAAACTACGTTATTGAGCAACTTCTTTCCGCATATCGTTCTAATTCCGCTTACATCGACCAAAACAGCACCATCTTTTCTAGTTATTAAGCTGTAGTTTCCTTCGGAATGATGCTTTGAATTAAATGCGAAATTTCCGCTATCAATTTCAACGTGATACGATAAACTTTTCGCACGTTTTACCGTTCCCAAAAATCGCAATCGAATCTCCGCGATATCTCCGTAATATTTAAATTGTATCAGAAACGTTTCATCGTTTAAGTGCATTAAATAATTTGCGGAAAAATCTTGGTTTAAATCCAAATTAAAATTGTTTGTGTTTAAGGAAAAATTCGGGTGGTTTTTATTGAAATGATTTAAGATATCTTCTTGGAATCCTTCCCATTGACAGTTTTCTGTTGATGGACATAAATAGATGGGTTGTACCATTTCTATGCTGCTATAAAGAAAACTTTTTATTAATTAAATTTTTAAGTAATGTAGAGGTTGGGCTTTGTAAAATAAATCTTTTCCAAGAAGGTTTAATTCTTATCAGGAAATAAAATTAATTTATGTAAGAGGATTGCTTTTTCTGATTTATATTGTAATCTGTAGGTATTAAATTTAAAAGATAGTAGACACTTTATTTGAATAGTTTTTGGGTATTTCACATTGGGAAAATTATGGTATCTCAGAAACTATAAGTTATTTTTCAAAACGGATTTTTTTCTTGAATAGCTCATACTTTAATTACTTTACTTTAACTTTTAGCTCATTATTAATTCAACTTTACTAAGCTGTATCATAAAAACTAAAAAAGATCTTTTAGAACGGATATTTTTTTTCAGAAAGTACATACTTTATTTTAATAATATCTGGATATTCCATAACAATATCCCGAGAAATTGGGTTTCCAGAATAAATTAAAAATAATTCAAAAAAAGGTTAAAATTATGTCCAACTTTAAAACGTTGTATCTCAAATACTAAAAGTTATCTCTCAAAACGGATCTGTTTATTGAATAGCTCATACTTTAATTGATAAACTCTGAAAATTCCATAAACAATTTTCGACAATTCGATTTATTACAAATTTTTAAAATTAATCAATAAAAATTTTGATTTTTAGAAATTGTTAAAAACTTCGTTTAACTTTATTAAGGTGTATCATATGAACTAAAAGAGATTTTGTAAAACGGACACTTTTTTTGGAAAGTACACACTTTATTCTAATAATATTTGGATATTCCATAATAATATCACGAGAAATCGGGCTTTTAGGATATATTGAAAAAAAAGGTGAAATTAACAAAATTATGGCCAACTTTAAAAGGTTGTATCTCAAAAACTAAAAGTTATTTCTCAAAACGGATCGGTTTATTGAATAGCTCATACTTTAATTGATAATCTGTCAAAATTTCATAAAAATTTTCCGACGATTCGATTTATTACAAATTTTTAAAATTAATCAATAAAAATTTACATTTTTACAAATTGTTAAAAATTTTGTTTAACTTTATTAAGCTGTATCATAAAAACTAAAAAAGATATTATAGAACAGATACTTTTTTTGGAAAGTACACACTTTATTTTAATAATAACTGGATATTCCATAACAATATCTCGAGAAATCAGGTTTCCAGAACAGATTAAAAATAACTGAAATAAAGGTGAAATCAACAAAATTATGGTCACCTTTAAAAAGTTGTATCTCTAAAACTGAAAGTTATTTTTCAAAACGGATTTTTTAATGAATAGCTCATACTTTAATTGATAATCTCTCAATATTTCATAAAAATTTTCCGACGATTTGATTTATTACAAATTTTTAAAATTAATCAATAAAAATTTAGATTTTTACAAATGGTTAAAAATTTTGTTTAACTTTATTAAGCTGTATCATAAAAACTAAAAAAGATATTGTAGAACAGATACTTTTTTTGGAAAGTACACACTTTGTTTTAACAATAACTGGATATTCCATAACAATATCTCGAGAAATCAGGTTTCCAGAACAAATTAAAAATAACTGAAATAAAGGTGAAATCAACAAAATTATGATCAACTTTAAAAAGTTGTATCGCTAAAACTAAGTTATTTTTCAAAATGGATTTTTTAATGAATAGCTCATACTTTAATTGATAATCTCTCAATATTTCATAAAAATTTTCCGACGATTTGATTTATTACAAATTTTTAAAATTAATCAATAAAAATTTAGATTTTTACAAATTGTTAAAAATTTTGTTTAACTTTATTAAGCTGTATCATAAAAACTAAAAAAGATATTGTAGAACAGATACTTTTTTTGGAAAGTACACACTTTATTTTAATAATAACTGGATATTCCATAACAATATCTCGAGAAATCAGGTTTCCAGCATAGATTAAAAATAACTGAAATAAAGGTGAAATCAACAAAATTATAGTCACCTTTAAAAAGTTGTATCTCTAAAACTGAAAGTTATTTTTCAAAACGGTTTTTTTAATGAATAGCTCATACTGAGTAATTGATAATCTCTGAAAATTTCATTAAAAAATTGCGACGATTCGATTTATAACAAATTTTTAAAATTAATCAATAAAAATTTAGATTTTTACAAATTGTTAAAAATTTTGTTTAACTTTATTAAGTATCATAAAAACTAAAAAAGATATTGTAGAACAGATACTTTTTTTGGAAAGTACACACTTTATTTTAATAATAACTGGATATTCCATAACAATATCTCGAGAAATCAGGTTTCCAGAACAGATTAAAAATAACTGAAATAAAGGTGAAATCAACAAAATTATGGTCACCTTTAAAAAGTTGTATCTCTAAAACTGAAAGTTATTTTTCAAAACGGATTTTTTTAATGAATAGCTCATACTGAGTAATTGATGATCTCTGAACATTTCATAAAAAAATTTCGGCGATTCGATTTATAACAAATTTTTAAAATTAATCAATAAAAATTTAGATTTTCACAAATTGTCAAAAATTTTATTTAACTTTATTAAGCTACATCATGCAGACTAAAAGAGATATTGTAGAACAGATATTTTTTTTGGAAAGTACACACTTTATTTTAATAATAACTGGATATTCCATAACAATATCTCGAGAAATCAGGTTTCCAGAACAAATTAAAAATAACTGAAATAAAGGTGAAATCAACAAAATTATGGTCAAACTTAAAAAGTTATATCGCTAAAACTAAAAGTTATTTTTCAAAATGGATTTTTTAATGAATAGCTCATACTTTAATTGATAATCTCTCAAAATTTCATAAAAATTTTCTGACTATTCGAGTTATTACAAATTTTTAAAATTACCAATAAAAATTTTGATTTTCACAAATTGTTAAAAATTTTATTTAACTTTATTAAGCTGTATCATGAAAACTAAAAGAGATATTGTAGAACAGATACTTTTTTTGGAAAGTACACACTTTATTGTAATAATATCTGGATATTCCATAACAATATCCCGAGAAATCGGGTTTCCAGAACAAATTAAAAATAACTGAAATAAAGGTGAAATTAATAAAATTATGGTCACTTTTAAAAAGTTGTATCTCTAAAACTGAAGGTTATTTTTCAAAATGGATTTTTTTATTAAATAGCTCATACTTTAATTGATAATCTCTGTAAATGTCATAAAAATTTTCTGACGATTCTATTTGTTATAATTTTTTAAAATCAATTAATAAAAATTTTAATTCTTAAAAATTTCTAAATATATATTTTTTTGAAAAGTAGACACTTTATTTGAATAATATCTGGATATTCCTTAACAATTTCCCAAAAAATAGGATTTCCAGAATTAATTAAACATAAAAACCCAATATAAACCTTTAAATATGCGGATATAAAAATTTAAAAAATAAAAATACTTACAAGTTTTGTAATAGAAAATTGTTAAGGATTGAAAGATAAATATAGACTACGATGTAATTCCCTGGTTACCTTTTGCGAAATTCCTTATCATTATTGTTCCAGATAAGCAGCATTTTGATAAAACCATCCCGATACGAGCGTAAAAGAATTTTATAAAAAACATTATCTTTAAGCTTACAATATAAAGAAATCTTATCACAATAGATATTGTCTTTTCGAATTAAATTTTTTAATAAACTAAAAGATTAAAAAACAATTTTAATTTTAATCCAAACTTTCCACTTTTATTTTCGCCTTCCTCTCCATTACCAGATTTTCTGGTATAAGCTAAATAAATCCGGGCATAAATTTTCCTCGATAAAGAACAACGATGCTCTAAATTCCCGGGTCATGCCGGTAAAACTAGCCCTATTTTTTTCATTTTTTGAAAAAAGACGCTAAAGAATGGAAGCCATATATCTAACTCGGCGGTGCTAATAGAATTCTTTGGAAAGAAACCGCGGCGCGCGAATCGACAACGACATCCACCCGGAAAGATACGGCCTAGATAAACCCCGGAGCCGGAACATTCCAGGTATAAATCAAAGCGAGATAAGCGATACTTTATTATTGACCGTCGTGGGCTAACATAGTTATGGTAGAGGAGGTATTATCTGTTTACGGCTCTTTTTGTTTTTGTAATCGTAAAATTGGTTTAAAATGTTCAAATCGGGGGTAATTTACTGATGGGGTGGATTTTTCATTATCTCTTTTTGATTTGTTGTGCCACCATAAACTTTAATGAATTAAAAAAAATTAACTTACCTAATTTCTTCTTGAATTATGATTAATCACAACATTTTTATTTTTTTTTATTTGTAATTAATTCATAAAAAAATTAAATCAAATCAAACCCATCCCATTCTTTTTATACAACTTTTTTATTTTCGTATTTTTAGAACATACAACACTAACGACTTAATTTTGCGACGGTGGTCGGTGGTAATTTAAGTTTATTTTTCCTTAAATTTGATTAACTGCTTTTAATTCCATTCCAATTTCTTATTTCGAGATATTAGTTCCATTTTAAATCACTAACACTTCAATAACAAGTCTCGATAATAATCACGTAGTCTTAATCTCTTCAGAGTCATTTTTTTTTAAATCTTAATTAAAAAGAATTTTTTTATATACCCTGATATTATCAAAGCCCGCCCCTCATTACGTTAAAATTAATTTAAAGAGGCCGATTAAAACCAATTCGATTTTTAAATCGACTTTTTTCTTATCGCTTTCGTTGGACGTAGTTTTTTGTCTTACGCCATCATCGGCCATAACACTGCTAGCTATTACAACTGGTCCGTTAGCTCCGGACACACTCGACACTTCCGGTACGACGCAATTGGTCATCGGTGAACTGAAATTGTCTAAACCCTGACATCGTAAGCGGTGCTCTCCGAGACATGCACTGTAAGCGATCGCGTGCGGGATGTAACTTTGGTCGAAAACTCCCGTGAAAAGGGTTGTTGCTAATGGACCTAAAGCATAAACGGGGACGTCTTCACCTCCGTGGGTAGCCCATTGTCTTGGTACGGCTGAAGTGTGGACTTGGTTCTTATCGTCGACGAATCCTGTCGTGTTTAATGGGATTATCCTTGGGTTGCTAAAACCTGGACCGTTTCCATAAAGGATTGTTGAATAGGGTTGACCATCAATGTCGGATACTTTACTATCCATCCCTAAAAGAAAACTTTGCATTAATTACTTCTTATTGTTTTGTTTAATTTTAATCTTAATTAATTGTTAAGTTAGCATTAAGATCTGTATATAAACCCAAATTTTGTATTAATAAACCAGTATTATTGATATCTTTGTAATGCTCACTTCCTTCCTGGATTAAACGTCTGACCTGCTCGGAGTTTAATCTATTCCAAAATAAATATCTGGCTTGCCGGGAGTTTATTTTCTCACAAACACTTTTCAAATATCTGGCCTGCCCGGAGTTTGAACATCCTGGAGCAATCTAAGAAACCAGCAACAAAAAATTAAAGTCTTAACTTGAGGCATTAACCTAATATGCCCAAAATCAAGAAGAAATCGGTCAAAATATCAAGAAGTTACACATCAATATGACAAAAAATTCACAGATCCGAAAGACGCCAGAGTATATACAAAAGCGTCTACACACCCTCGAATCGCTTTGGAAGAAGATCGAAGAAAATCATTCGTATTACACCTCAAACTATTACCTGCAATTACAACAAGTGTACAACGATGCTCTAAGCTTCATAAAAGAGTGTCAAAAAGCACAACATCTCGAAACCAGAGAAAAAAGGCAGGAAATAAGAATCAAAGAAATGGGTAAACTAATCGACAAAGTAAAACTAGAAATGGTGCAATCAAAACAAAAAGCACTTATGAATATCTACGATGTCAACTTCAACAGCAAATGGACAGCATCTCAAGATTGGAAGAAGATATCCAGATAGAAGAAACAAGATTTCAAGCTCGATACTTCGAAGAAGATGTATGTTGCAACCTTCAGACGGATTTTTTATATCCCCCACCTTTTACTCACCTTCCTCTGAAACACAACATATCCCTCAGAACAACACTGCTATCCCTCTTCTACAAATAAAACTTCCTGTATTTGATGTATCCTATGACCAATGGATCACCTTCTACGGCCTAAGAAAAATCGAAAAAAATGCAATATTTAAAGACGTACCTGAAAGGAGAAGCTAGTCGAATAATCCAACATTTGCAAATATCCGATAGTAATTATGATGCAGCGTGGATACTTCTACAAAAACGGTACCAAAACAACCGATTAATTCTATCAAAACTACTAGACAAGATTTTGGATCTGCCAGCAACTACGACTGAAAACGGGGAAAAGAGAACGACACAACAATCGAGTGTCTCCAAGTCATATCGAACCTAGGAATTCCAACGGAATCTTGGGGTCCTATCATAGGAAGAATATTTGGCAGAAAATGGGACTACGAGACGAACAAGCAATACGAACTGTCGTTGAAAGAACCACATAAAATACAAGACTTCCAAGATTTATTAAGTTTTCTCAGAACTCGCTTCCAAAGACTAGAAGCAATCGTTGAACCAAAAATTCGAAACAATCCAATGCAAGCAAAAGAAGCTTACAATAAGAATAAGTGCAGATATTGTAAAGAAAACCACATAATACACTTCTGCATGAAATTCAAAAAGCTTACAGTTCCAGAAAGGATAGTGTACATGAACAAAAACTGCTTATCTAACGACAAAAGCAACATGTGCAACCCAACGTTAAGATGTCACATTTGCCAAAAACCACATCATACTTTGTTTCATAGAGATGAGAACAAGCAGATTAACCAAAGCACTAAATCTACAAAAAATGTAATCCTAGTTTCCGGCAGTTCCCAAAAACTCCGAATACTTATCGATCATTACTCGCTCATCCAAAGCAAAAAATACATGCCAAAATATCTGGGCCGGAAGACGGCTTACCAAAGATATCAAAAGGGAAAGTGGATCTAAACGTTCAACCTCATTTTCCGAGTAACTTTACCCTCAATACCACTTTCTTTATTCTATCTCAGCTAACGCAGACGATCCTCAGCCGACGAACACTGGAACAACAAAATCCTAGCTGATCTCACCTATAATATTCCTGGTCCCATAGATGCTATCATCGGAGCAAAAGAATATAGAAAAGTCATTCAAGAGTTTGGAGGATGGATTTTATCAGGAACAATGAAAGAGAAACAAGCTACTGCAATTATAAGCGTGATATTAAAGCTCAATTAAAGAAGTTCTGGGAAATTGAAGAAATTTTAGTTCCAAGAATTCAAACGAAAGAAGATGCTGATTGTGAAGATCATTACCAAAACAACACAAAGAGAAATGATGACTGTACATACACTGTCACAATCGTTTTTAAAACTGAACCAGAGATTGCAACAGTCATCCAGGATCGGTCATTTCAAGACAGCCTTGCAACTCAAGGGACTCAATGTGGTCCACTGAGTACCTCAGTCGGTTTCAACAGAGATACAAATGGAAAGTTCCACAAGATAATTTCAAGCCTGGTGATGTTATTATCAAAGAAAATATCGTTGATCCCAATCGTTGGCCATTAGCACGAATAACAGAAGTCCATCCTTCAAATGACGGCAATGTTTATTATTCAGTTTGGTCACAGCAACGTACAACCTAAAATAGTGGATTTCTGGATTGTACATCGAACACATGAAACATGCGAAAATAGAAAGAGGACAATTCAGAATCGAGTCCAAGATTAACAAAACAAAAATAGACGAAGATATGGAAACAGCCGCAGGCGCGATTAGAGATTTCAAATACTTATGTGATAACATTACTGCAATGGGACATTCTACTCATTGTGAAACTCTTCTACATAATCTGGAAGAAGAAAACAAGCAGCTAGAATGGGTTCATGATGGATTACATAATGTTATACAAAGAAGACAGAAGAGACGACTGTTGGGACGATTATTAACAAGTGTTTTTTGCGTCAACAACGAAGTATACCAAGATATCGAGGCGTTAGAAAAGAATCAACAAACCTTGATAAAAGCATAAAATCATCAAAGTAAATTCATGATGTCTGCAATTTCCACTTTCAACGCTACCGAAGCAAGAGTTTATACCCAACTAGAGAAGTTTCGCGTAAAACTAAACCAAGGACTTTCTGCGTTAAACGAAATGAATCGTTGGTTCACCAAAGTCGATGTGAATCAATTGAACATCTCTGTATTGAACTCATAACACATAGCTGTAAATATCATTTCGGAAATAAGTCAATTTTATACCAAGGTGATGCATCTCCACCTTGGGAAGAGAGGATCTGTATGATCTGTATGTCACATACACAGAATAATTGCATCAGCAAATTCAAAACTTCCGTCGAATATTTAAATCCTTCAAGTTCCTATCATAAAACTTAAAATGGAACAAGATGAGGAGTTTATTACGACATTTACTTATTTTCCCATGGCAGAAGTAATTGACTTCGAAATTATTAAAGTCAATACTATACCCCTCAAGATTACTAATGCAACATACTACATACTAGAAGTTCTAAACGAAATCTTCGCTATTGATTACAACAATCAATTATATTTTCAGCTCAGCCAGGAAGAATCAACGAGATTTATAAATGTCAAGATGAGCCAGCATGGGGAATTCAAGAATTCCCTATAAATCATCTGGAAAGATTTATACATCAAGGAAACCTGGATTTTCACCAATAAATTTAATCATCTGGAAAGATTTATATATATAGCGATCAACCAGAGAAGATCGCTATAACATGTTCTGGTACACGAGAGGATATACTATTAAATTCAACTGGTGTACTCCAGATCTCTCAGGACTGCGTTATAAAAACTAAACAAATTATATTAGCACCCAAGAGAGACAACAGTATTACCATAACAGCCAGTTTCAATCACCCCATCGTACTTCCAAGGAATATAACCATAAAAAGACCATGGGTTATTCCAAAACTATCTGAAGAAAAGGTCATCAAAGCTGGAGATGAAGTTTTTCAGCTTATGGCCATAGAAGAATTAGTAAATGAGGAGATACGAAACGTTAATTGGCGTATCAATCGTCATTGTAGTTGTCATCTCATGGGGATTGTATGGATGGTGTAAGTTGAAATGTCAAAGAAAACCAAAACCAAAAGAGACATCCAATATTGAAGAAGAGATTCCTCTGCAACCGATCAACTCGAAATTATCTGCAGTCGGAGGAACTTAACTACAATCAATCTACGCGGAAATTCACCAAAGAATGAACTCCGAACGGAGTTCATTCTTTACGATACGGTATAGTGAATTAACATAACAAAAGACGATAACCTCACTAGTAATAAATTTTCTTTTCTTTTAGGCGGGCAGAATTTTAATCTTGATTAAACAATATTTTTTATTCAATTTTTCTTTAAATTTTTTCCTTTTTTTTAATAAGGTCAGTAGATAAATTACCAAACGTCGCTGACCAAACGCATCGCTCGCACCGCATAATTGCGTAACGCACACCACGCGCAATTATGCGACCTAAATTAATTAGTTTTTTAAACATTTTATTAATTTTTTAACATATTGTTAATAAGCGTTTATAACATTTATCAAATTCTGATAATCCATTACCACCATATTCAGATAGAAGAAATTATCATAGAAATACATAGAAAACAAAAACAAGCACTCACAAGAGATTGGGCAAGAAAGGAAAGAAAACTGGAAAGAAGAGATAAAAGAAATGACATCAGACAAACAACGGAAAGGAAAAAATTTTTGGTGCCTCATACATTTCATGAAAGAACTATTTTTTTAACAAAGACCACATTCACAACACACGAACAAAAACTTTTGGGAAAAGGCTTAAAATATGCCATCTACAAAACACCTAATCTCAGAAGAACCGCCATAGAGCTGGAAGCGGTAACACGTAACCATCCTAAAGAAGAACAAATTCACAGAGAACTACATCTATTATTCAAAGAAGACATGGGAAAGAGCAAAAAGAAAAATAGATACAATACCCAGAAGAAACAAAAAAGAGAAGAACAGATATTGAAGGGCATTAAACGGAATATCAAGGATAACGATTTGATGGTTACAATTGATTTTAATTTAATAACAAACAATCCAACTAATGCTTTTCACTCCAAAGTAAAAAGGATAATCAAGGACGTTACAGATACCCT